TGCCTGGGGTCATAGGAGATGACAGTGTGACTGTGCAGACATGGTCTCTTGTGGAGCTGCTTTTGTTCAGCTTACAAACAAAAACCTGAAATGAAGTCCGGCAGACAGCACGATGGCCAATGGTACTGGAGTTGGGGGAGCAGATACGAGTTCACACTTGAGGTTAGGGAAAAGGGCTGTTTTTAGGTGCTGGAGAGATCCTGAGGGAAGACTGGGAAGAGAGGAGTCTCTCTGAGTGTGGAAGGATTTAACTGGGAGGGGGGGGGAAGTCTGCCAAATTCTGTGACTGGGACAAATAGGAAGGGAAAAAAGTAAAATTTAACAGCAGACTTACATGAATTTTATTCTCTCCCTCTAATTGAAAACACCCCAATTGCTCTTTTGAGAATGGGAGCGTTTGAGAGAGTGAAAAGTGTTTGGTGGGTGTTAACTGCTAATATAATGCTCTATAGCACTGAAGATCAGTTTTCCAGTTCTAATCTGAGGATATTGAGCTGCAGGAGGAGGAGCACATGAATACCTATCTGCATGGCTGCTGGCAGCCTGGCTATGTTTTAGGGACTGACTTGCTGCTGGTTCTCTGACACCTGTGCCAAAGAGGAGCACTTTCCTAAGGATTGTAGGTGAATGGAACAATACTGTGGGAGTCTGCATCAAATGAGGAATCTGGTCTTGCCTTAATGTGTAAACTGTTCTCTGATCAGCTGGTACCCCCTAAACAAATAAATCTCTCATGTAAATGTTTCAAGACCCAGTAGTAACTTAACATTCCCTGTCTTTGTGTTTGTTTAGCTGTTACAAGTGACATAATGTGTCCTGCTTTTTCTTGGTAATTTTGGTAGTAATTTGAGACTTTAAGTGGGAGAGATAACTGCAAAGATTATCTGTAGATCTTTGGTAAAATTATGAAACGTGCTGTAACCACTCTTTATTCCTCGAAGAAATACTGATATATATGTATAGTGTAATAAAGTATAACTGATATTGCTGAATGGCTAATCAGGCAACTTAGGGAGCTTGCAGCCATCAGAAATCTTTTAGTATTGCTACTGCTTTACAGTGCTCAAAATGACAACTGGAAACAATCTTACAACTATGTTAAGATTCATCTGCTGGAAACAATACCAAAGTCCACTTTGTCTTTCTGTGATTTAGTTGCTCCTTTCAATAGCTGCCAAAAAAGAGTATATTTTCTTGAAGACTTACTCCCCTTGCTTTATATAGACCTCGCACTGTAGGCTTAGACTGCTTTTTTTATCATACTTAAAATTATTCTTTTACAAGCCAAGAAGTTTAGCAGTTCTGAAATGGAGCCCTCTGGATTTTTGAGCTTGCAGGAAAAATTAGAAAAGCATAAGACAAAAATCCAAACTTCAATATATTCGAGAGAAGACAATGAAAGGCCAAACCAACTGTTACTGTTAGCTTTAGGGTTAAACAAAACCAGCAACAACAAAAACATCCTTCCAAAGACTCCTCTTGCACTTAGTCTACCCCAAGTTTCTCTTTGGGAAAGTCTTCCAACCATTCATCTCCAGGTGTTGTATAGCTTTGTGAATGGCAGTTGTTCTGTGCTCAGTTCCAGATGTGAAAAGTGTGGGTCCAGTTTGAAATGGTGGATGTTGAATCTTAGATTTGTTGAATACATATTCAAATTTGCAGTCTGCCTGGTGTCAACCAAGTCCCAAGTTCACCACTACTAGCACATGTTTATTTTCTCAATTTGAATTTTTAGGCTCCAGTGCTATTTAAAGGAAGCCTTAATTTATAAGGCCTTAAGCCTTCTTAACAATAACCACCTATGAGAGTCATACTAGAGGATGATTATTTTAGTAAGGATATGAAATCTGACTTCAGAGCTTCTTTAAAAATGAGCTTTGTTTCTTGCTTATATCCATTCCAATGGAACAGATACTTTAATGTTCTTGAAGTAACGTAGCTGTTGCATAGAGACTTTTTTCTAAAGAATTGCCAACTCATTACTTCACTGTAGAGGAATGTGATATTTCTAGTATTCCACTTCAGTGACTAGATTAAATAACTGATGAAAGCCTGTTACTTTGACGCTATTGCTTGTTGTCTTTATAATAATGGTTCACAAAATATCCTGCTTTTGTGCTTGTTTCCAGTACTTTTATTTATATATGACATCTTCCCGCTTCTGTGTTCAAAACCTTGGCATTTAATTCTGCGCTAATCTTTTTTCAGGGAATGATACTTATAAAAATACTTTGTAAAACCATTGTTGTTTGTTGAAGTAACACCTAGAGTGGTTGGTTAATGATCTTGTGTCATGACTTAAAAGAAATACTCCCTCGAGCTGGGCTTTTGAAAAAAATCTGAGTTCTTGAGTAATTGCTTTAATAGAAGCCTTACAGAAAAGCACAGAGCAGTAGAAGAATTGAGAAAAGAGCAAAGGTCATCTGTTTGTGCTTCTGAAACTGGGCATCCTAGAGCTTGCTGTGCTCTCTGAACGGGTTTGAGTTCGCAGTTGGTATAGAGCACTGCTGTGTCCAGTGTCTGCGGAGAAGCTGGGCTGGCTGCAAAATCATATGCAGGGAACACGCTGTACGAGAAGTCTGAGCTTTTTCACATGCTTGCCTCGATCCATCTTGAGAGAAAATCACTGTGAAGAAAACAGGATTTCATTCCTGTACCTTTTGAACTGGAAGAACGAGTCCAGAACAATAGCTATCAAGCATGCTACCCTCATCTTTAAACAGTAAAATGCAGCTGAGAAGTTGCTTTTGTTCCTTTGGCTGCCTTTTGAAATATAAAGTTTTAATTTATTAAGTCATACAAACTTAACAGTGTGTCTGCCGCAGCTCCTTTTTGTTTGTTTGTTTTGGGGGTAGTGGGGTTTGTTTAGTTTTTTGCACCTTGTTTTGCTGAGAGGCTGTTCAGAAAAGGAATTTCTAACTGGTCTGGCTTAATTACTTTTCTGGTATGTTGATCCATTAATGAAACAAGCTTTTGGAAAACAACGTGGGAAGTTTTAGAAAGCTGTCAGATTTGTTGTATGAAGTTTAGATGTCACAGAGACTTTTTTACTCTTTTTTCTTTCCAAACACACAAATTATTTCAGGTGTGTGGTCTGGAGTGCTGTGTTTGATGTATTTTCAGTAACTATGAGCTTGTGGTTTATGGTGTTCTCATAGCACAACAAAGGTTGGATGCTCTTTAGTGAGTTGGAGATACTCAAGTGTCCAGTGCAGTAACTTACAAAAACCACTAAAATACTACTGATAACTTCGTCTAGGAGATTTTATACAAGCCTACAGCAAAGCCGTATACAGGATCACAGTTCTGCACAGTAATGCCAAACAAGTAGTGAAAATGCATCTCTGAAGAGAGGTCCGATGTAAAACATGTTTAGTGACGCATTGAAGCTTGCATGTTATATTCAGTGACCAGTATTATTTAATATCCTAATGCATGATTAGTGTATGTTCTATGTGGGGTTTCTCTCTTGTTACTGAGTTGATCTGAACTGAGGGAAATAGCTTGGACATACCTTTTTTTACTAGTGCTGTTCCTGGTTTTGCATACTTGAAACAGGATCTTTTGAGACAAGTTATCTAATCCTGTCGCACCACCTACTGTTGAAAAGCAGATACTAGGCGTAATGTCTGTCTTGCCTAAATGTTAATGTAATCCCCTTAATGTCATGCTTTCTTGGTGGTTGGTATTGAAGAGTGGAGATCCTGCAGCAAAGCTGATGTTGAATAATGTGGAATTACTAGCTAATTTTGTCATATTTCAGCAATCTCTTACATAGCTTAAGCAAAACTGAAATGGGGTTATAGTGACAAGAATAAAGGGAAAGGTATTTCCTTTAAGTAGAAACTTGGTGGTTCGAAGTTAAATCTATAACACTGTAGTCATCTCTTCAAGTAAGATAAACTGTGTCTAAGACTTGAAAATGGCAATGACATCAGAAGTTAAAATATCTTGTAAAATATCTTTTCTAATAATAAATAAGAAAATATTTTTTTAAAAAAATATAATTCTGTCTTCCATATCTGTTTTTGTTTTTGTACAAAAAAGAAAACCTCTCTTCTGTAGTTATTCAGAGGACTGTATAAAGATCTTGTCATCAAATCTGACAGGAGTCAACCCAGTGCTGGCGAGACAAATCTGAGTGTACATAACTTCCTTTGGGCCATTGTAGTTTTAATCTGGGTGCATGCTTTTCAGAAATAAACTAAAAACTTAAATTAACTGAACTCAAATTTTCCTGCAGAAAATGTAGTTGCTTTGTTAGTAGTACAAGAGTAAGCTCCTGTCTGCAGATGGCACACCTGTTCTCTATATAAATGCTCTTCTTATTTAATTAACTTAGCTGTTGGGCATTTGTATTCAAGAAGCTCAAATGAGAAGAGCAATTAATGCAAAAATGTGTCTGTGCCAGTTGGCCATTAAGAACTTGGTTGTGGGGAGGGCTGTTTAACTAGTCGTGCAGAACCAGTCAGTTTTCAGTATATTATGTGAGTACAACACAACTTGATACCCTTGTGCTGTGGTTGTCCTTGAAAGGATATTATCTTTTAGAGTTCTCTGTCAAATGGCAGGGGGAAAAATTCTGTTTTGGGGGTGGAAACAAACAAAAGAATCTTTCCTGGATTGTCTTTGAGCTGGAGGTTATATTTTTGTGGGCTTGCCTGTACAGCTAAACAGAATACAGAGAGGTAGGAGAGTGCAAGAAAGACTACTTCTGCATGCAAATGTCTGTCTTGAAGGCCAGTCTGTAAAGCTCTTAACTTGTTCCTGAGGTCAATATGCAGGTAAAACGGGATCCTTTAAATCCTTGGAACTGTTTTTCTGCATTTACAGTGTGTTTTTACGATGGCAGTATGGGCTAGAATAGGACTTTTTAGATGTATTTTTAATGTGTAAATCTTTTCACTTGTAGGCATGTATGTAGAAGAAGCAATTGTTTAAGCTTATTTCCAACTCCTTTATTCTTTTTTCTCCCACCCCCCTCCAATTGCAATTGATAGGTACAGGATCTTTGCCAAGAGAGAAGCCTGCCTCCATGAAAAATTCCCCAGCCTCCTGGGCTAGCTCTGGTAAACCGCTTGCCAAATTCAAAGTGCCTGTCAAAAGATCAGGGCTTGAGAGAACACCTAGCATCTCGTCCATCAGCAGCACTCAGAGTGAGCGAAGTCTTTTCAGCAGTAATTGTAAGTATCCGCCAGGGTTACGGGTTTTAGGTGATGGCCTGTATCGACTGCTTGTTGAAAAAATCCCCTTGAAATCCTGTCTCACAAAGACCCATGTTAATTCTCATTTTACTACTTATTATTAGTTTTAGGTCTTTCTGTCTTTTACCTTACAACTTTCCTTCTTGACATTTGTGACCTGAAGGAGCTTTGAGCCTTGGATTTCGGTTTGAGTAGAGGTTTCAGTACTGTTCCTCTTCCATCCTTAAACATTACAAACCCCGTGGGTCGTCTTGAGCAAAAGTTTCCTTATGTTTACATATGGTGTAGTAAGAAAATTCTGAATGGTGGGTGTGGATTACCCATCATAATACTTGGAACAGCACATTACAGGTTTTTGATACTAAATGCTCTTTTTGAGCTAGATTATATCTACTTTGAGTTTTAAGACAAAATGTGTAGACGAGGTAAAAAGCAGGTAATGAAACTGCTTTTGAGGGTCAAACTTTGCATGGGTAGACTTCTGTAATTTTGAAGGTAAGTGTATGACCTGAACCAAATCCATCTTGATTAAAACTGGGGAGAAAAATAACAGAACTAGCTTTGTTTTGAAGCTCTACAAAGGGTCTGTCCTAGCAGTTTTAGGAGTCTTGGGGCAAAAATATGAAGGAAATAACGCACAACTGACTGTCAGGCACATCAGTATTCCCAGCTATACATATTCAAATGAGTACATTCAAATATTCTAGTACTATCACATTTGTTGTATCTTGGAGACAGGGCAAAGGCCTTTCCTTTGTGCCAGCTGTCATTTAAATCTGTCTTCAATGGACTGAAGAAGAGAACTGTGATTTAACATATGTTTATAGCTTATGTATGCGCATATGCATACATACATATATAACTAAATTTTCTCTTGTTCTTTTTTCTTTCCTGTAATGCCTTCATTAAAAAAAACTAGAGACCTAATATATTCTTCAAAGGAATAAGAGTATGTGCAATAAAATATGCAGTGCATGTTCCTGTGTAGTCGGGTCGGTTCTGTTACCGTGACAGCCATGTTGACTTTTGCTGTTCAGGTTTAGGACTGTATCTGGAATTCCTAAGCAGCTTTGTCCTCTCTTCATTTTACTCCTTCGTGTAACAAAGGAAAGGGTCATCGCCTCATAACAAAGCAGTGTATTCAGATTAAGTATCCAAACAGATGACTCCTTATTTAGCCTGATTTGCTAGCTGGTTTAATCTGTTTTGTCCACTGCCTTGAAGCTTATAATTTTTTCCACTCCGATTCACGAAGAGCAAGCAGGAGCAATATGAGAGGTTGAACATGGCTGCAGTCTCTTTGGCTTTCAGCTTGCTTTGATCCTTTTTAAATGACTATACCAGGAGGACTCCGCAGTTGCACAGAAACTAATTTTTCTCCTGTTATTTTCATCAATTCTACACTAACACCACCGACTGACTCAGGAAGCCACTATGATGTTACCTTACTGACATTGCTGGTAGTGGGATCTTACAGCTTTTGTATTATTCCTTTGTTAGCCACGTTTACTGGGAAAAGAAGTAGGTTGTATTCCTTTTTATTTCTTTTTTTTTTTTTAAAGCATGTATTTTGTTTTGTGGAGGTTGGTAAATGTATGCAATGTTTTGACTTGCTGATTTTCCATGAGATTTTTCTTTAGTTAAATTGTTACACTTGATAAGAATGATTTAAGTTTGATGGTCAGGTTTTGTTAGTATAATGAATTTAGGTTACATATGATTCACGTGTTAGTATAGTGAAATTTTAATGACTATCAAATTAGAAAGAACTAATGAATTTACTTTGCACTCTAATGTTTTACGTACAGTGCTGTTCTTGTTTTTTTTTATTCTTTCATTTAATCTACTGCACAATAATGTCAGGAGAAAAATCCATACTTGTAAATGTAAAATGTTTTTTATTATATTGGTGGGGCACACAAAAAACAGGATGGGAGGCTTACACTGTGAATGTTATGAAATTTATGATGAACTATTGTGGTCCTGTCAACAGTATTAAATTGACAAAGGCACTTGGCTTGTTTTGCTTAAGGAGTTTGCCTTGTGTTAGTGGAGAAAAAAATTACAAAAGAGAGGGTTGCTCCTGCTGTGTCAGCTTAGCCCTTTGTTATGGGATATCCTTGGATTGGTAATTTCCTGTGGCAGCATTAGGGGTTTTTTGTCAGATGAGCACTTGAATTATAATTCTTTTCTCTAAAAAGACTTACTATTTGAGCAGTCTGGAAATAATGAAGTTTGAAATATTTTTGTTAATAAAAGCATATTTTGCGTACAAGCTGTCAGTTTGAGCATTGAAAATTTGAATTTTTAACAGTAGAGAAATCTTCTCAATTTCAGTGTTGAACTGAAAATACTATCTTTTGAACATACCAAAATGTTTAAACTCTGTTAAAAACAAGAATCCAAATTTGAATTGCATTAGAATAATTGCATACAATGGAAATAGTGTTTCAGAAGTTAAAAAGGTGATCTGAGC